TCCAGTCCAGTCCAATCCAATCCAGTCCAGTCCAGTCCAGTCCAATCCAATCCAGTCCAGTCCAATCCAATCCAGTCCAGTCCAGTCCAGTCCAATCCAATCCAATCCAATCCAATCCAATCCAATCCAATCCAATCCAATCCAATTCAATCCAGTCCAGTCCAATCCAGTCCAATCGAATCCAATCCAATCCGATCCAATCCAATCCAGTCCAGTCCAGTCCAATCCAGTCCAATCCAATCCAATCCAATCCAATCCAATCCAATCCAATCCAGTCCAGTCCAATCCAATCCAATCCAATCCAGTCCAATCCAGTCCAATCCAATCCAGTCCAGTCAATCTAGTCCAATCCAATCCAATCCAATCCAATCCAATCCAATCCAATCCAATCCAATCCAATCCAGTCCAGTCCAATCCAATCCAATCCAATCCAATCCAGTCCAATCCAGTCCAATCCAATCCAGTCCAGTCAATCTAGTCCAATCCAATCCAATCCAATCCAATCCAATCCAATCCAATCCAATCCAATCCAATCCAGTCCAGTCCAATCCAGTCCAATCCAATCCAATCCAATCCAATCCAATCCAATCCAGTCCAGTCCAATCCAGTCCAATCCAATCCAATCCAATCCAATCATTTGTAAAGCACTTTTTTCACCATAGTAGACCAAAGTGCTGTACAGAATCAGGACTGCAACACAGCTCACACCAAAACAAACTCAATCACAAGTAAAATAGGAAAAAAAAACACAGAAAAATAAAAGCAAGTAATAAAACACAAAGTAAAAACAAGGAATAAAAACAATAAAATGCCTAAAACCTAATTTAAAATCTAAAATAAAAACAAAAAAATAAAATCTATTATAAATGAACAACACAACCCCTCACACAGTGTCAAAAGCCAAAATAAACAAGTGGGTTTTAAGACAAGTTTTAAAAACAGCCAGTGAAGAGGACTGTCTGAGTTGGAGAGGTAGCTCGTTCCAGAGTTTAGGAGCTGCTGCAGCAAAAGATCGATCCCCTTTGAATTTAAGTCTGGTTTTAGGGACCCTCAGGAGCAGTTGATCAGCTGATCTGAGGGAGRGGGAGGGATTATAGGGATGCAACAGATCAGACAAGTATGGTGGGGCAAGACCATTCAAAGATTTAAAAACAAATAAAAGTGTTTTAAAATGGATAAAAGGAAACCAATGGAGTGAAGCTAAAATGGGAGAAATGTGGTCATATTTTCGTGTGCCAGTTAAAAGCCTCGCTGCAGCATTTTGGACCCTCTGCAGTTGGGCGATGGAGGACCCACTAACCCCCAAATAAAGTCCATTACAGTAATCCAGCCGGGTGGTGATAAAGGCATGAATTACGTCGGTGCTAACCACTGCACCATCGTGCTGCCAAAGAAGTGAACAGATAGCATATACAGGTCCTCCTCAAAAAATTATCATATTGTGATAAAGTTCATTATTTTCAGTAATGTACTGATAAACATTAAACTTTCATATATTTTAGGTTCATTGCACACCAACTGAAGTAGTTCAAGCCTTTAATTGTTTTAATATTGATGATTTTGGCAAAAAAGTAAAGAAAAATCAAAAATCCCTATCTCAAAAAATTAGCATATTTCATCCGACCAATAAAAGTGTTTTTAATACAAAGAAAGTCAACCTTCCAATAATTATGTTCAGTTATGCACTCAATACTTGGTCGGAAATCATTTTTAGAAATGACTGCTTCAATGCGGCGTGGCATGGAGGCAATCAGCCTGTGGCACTGCTGAGGTGTTATGGAG